ACGGCTAAAAACAGAATTATGTAGCAAATGACATCAAAACAACTATATTATCATAATTGATTGCTATTACAACTGATTTAGGATAAAAAAGTTGCAGAACTTTTTTCATTACAAATTTGAATGTCAATACATCGCAACGGCAAAATTCATTCGTCAATTAATTAACCTGCTGAGAGACAAATTCTATAGGAATGCTAGTAAACTTCGACAAATCAAATAAAAGGAATGCTCAAACAAAATAAAGTCCCTTCAAAAGAAATTAGTTATATGCTGACACAATTATTTCACTGACTTCGTATCCCTTCACTAACTTCGTATACCTCGCCAATATTGATACTTCTACCTCACTCCAAATTCGAAGCCCGACAACCCTGTATAAACTGCACAAACTGCACTACAGTGCAAATTTTTGGTTTTCGACCAGCACAAAACTTACACTGAATTTTCTGTAGTCCGTTAATTTCTGTCTTCACATCTAATGAAAATAACCAGTCTCGCAAAGATGGATTCACAATTTTTATCAAGGTCTACTGACACTTTAATCTTTTTTAATATGCAACTAAATTTCTTTCCTTATTTTTTTCCTTTTTTTCCAGGAAATGTAACGTCAAGAAAAAAGAGAAAACCACAAACCAAATATCAAACTTTGGAACCGGAAAAAGAATTCCTTGGTAGTACGATATGAATTAGCGAGAAATTTGTATCTACCCGAAAGGCAGTTCAGAATCTGGTTTCAGGTAAAAGCAGCTCAAATTTTTGGTTTTAAGTTTTAGCAAACAGAATATTATACTTTTTTTAGTAGAAAACCTCGAAATGTACCAACATTAGATATCACCGAAATGTTTGGGTAATTGATAATAATGCAACTCGAAATAGTTTTATTTATTGCGTATTTGCAGTCTTGGATCTTGCTTTTGTGTTTATTAAAGATTAATAGATGCCAAAGTATGCTCTTTCATTGCTTACTCTGAGTTCTCTTCAGAACTTTAGAACATTATATCACTTTGATTTATAATTTGCCAAGAGTACGACGGTAGTATAACTAGTTCCAGCGTATTTTAAGATCAACAGAATACAGCGTTATATTTGTTCAGAACCATTTTAATTAAATGATTCAAACTTCTGGTTTATTGCAAATTACTGTATTTCATTTTGTGAAAATATGATTTTTCGAACTCAACTGAATAATTTATTTGAGAGAACGAATAAAATTACTCAATGCTGAGGAACTTTTCGAAAACTAATTCACTCTTCTGAAAAAATTAAACTATAAATTTACTTCTTATATCACGTCGAATTTTGAAACAATGTTTCAATTTTTATGCGATGTATTCTCCGAAACATGTCAAGTAATTTATTTTCTTAAGTTTTATATGGCGCTGTGTTGAGTTTTATGTCCAATATTCCAATTTCATGAGTAATAAAACTTTACCTACAAAAATTAGCAGCAAAGTACATCAAGTATCTAATAAGTTTATTTTTTTTTGCTCTGCAGAAAATTACTATTTGTTTCAATAATTAATAAGTACTGATGCCAGTGAAATATCAGTCAGTTCTTATGTCAATTTATCCGTTACTTTAAATTTATTCAAGATGCTTATCCCACTTCAAAAGCTTCAGTTTCAGTATTTATAACAAAATGACTACATCTCACAGAGTCTCGTCTTTGTTTATTTAACTTGCTTATTTCAAATTAAGATTGAATTTTAGAAGCAAACTAGTCGTTAAATCAAAGACGAATGCGACAAAACGTTTGTTAATAAGAAATATTAGTTTATATATTGGTGGATGGAAACAAATAAAAATATATATTTGGATTTATACACGTATTTATTATTTACACAATCTTATAATTCAAACAGTACTACTAATTAAAGATTGAAATTCAATTCATTACACTGCATTCCACGTTTCTAGATTCCTAACAATAACAGATTATCTAAGTTTAGCGTGAGCTGGTGTCATACTGAGTTTGAAAACACGAGGGAAATTCCATAAGCATATATATCTTTCAACAGCTATTATTTTCTGGATTTCATTAAATTGCTTCTGACTTTTGTTAAATCAGTACAGTTTGCATAATCTATCCGGTACTTAAAAATTTTTTCCTGGTAGTAAATTTTTTTTACTGTCACTACGACTGTTGACATAGATATGATTAAACAAAATATGGTACTTAAGTTATTTCGATATTACCATGGAAAATTAAAACCAAAGATAGAAAATCTATTCGAAATTGGAAGTGTACTATGTTCGAAAACTTCTGTTTTAATGGCTCTCCATCGTTTTGGTGGCCAAATAATATGCGTTGCTCGACCTGTTAACAGTCCTACAGATACCTGGAGTATAACACAGTCAACTTGAAATATATGATACAAATTTATATTATTAAAAAAAGAAAGTATTCTTAGGCTTGAATTTAGGGTAAATTACATTATGACAACACTTCCTTATTGTTTTCCAGCTCCAATCTAGTAAAATGCCCTAAGCAATGATCAAAACAAAACAATACCAAAATAAATGAAAATCAGGAACCATATTATTTCACAAATAATATTCCAGATAACTTACGGAGCCATACACTCTACTATCATTATGATTGTTCGGGTTATCTGATTCCATCCAACAGCAACCAGCAGGTATCTCGAACAAGTTTGGTCCTTTTTTCAGTCTGTAATTTTCAAAAAAATTTTTCGCTCTGGAATTTTGAGAAATAGGGTAATTATCTTTTCAGTTATCAAATAACAAAGATCAAGGTATTGTGCCAAAAATGCTCAAAAGTAAAGTCACTTTTGGAAAGAAATTATTTCGAAGGCTGAAGTCCGAAATGAGCCCAAAAACGATGCAAATTTTTTATATTTTTCACTAGAATCAGAGACAGAATGCAAAATTTAAAAGAGATATACCTGATCACATCACCATCTAAAGCAGTAACTCGTTTAATATGACGTTTTTCTGGATCATTCGGAGGTCTGCAAATATCAATTTATAACAATAAATATCAGATATAATATTTGAAAAACCACAAGTTTCAAAATTTTTGAAATGGAATATTGGAGGACAAAATTAATTAAAACTAAGTATAAGAAAAATTAAGTATTTCAAAGATTAAAAAAATTTGCTGATAGAATAAACAAATAACCAACATAAATGTGTGTATTTCGCCAATTTTCGGTGTCCACAAATTAAATCGTGATAGCCATACAACATCCTTTTCCCACCAATTCTTTCCACTGCCATGTAACGTTGGCTAAATCCTCTTTTAATAAAAGCTACCAAAATATTATGAATTATGTAAGTATAATCATCAATAAAAAATGCAATTAGACAGAAATATTTAACTGATCAATTGACTGAAAAGCATTTAAAAAACAAGATATACTCAAGGTCATCGAAAAACCAAATAAAATTAATGAACTAATTTCTTCACTTCAGGCTGTTAGATTTTCATTTTCTGTTCCTTTGAGTCGAGTATAATGCTTTTCAAATAAAATTAATGAACCTAATTTCTTCACTTCAGGCTGTTAGATTTTCACTTTCTGTTCCTTTGAGTCGAGTATAACAGCCATTTTTCAAGTAACAATTAAGGAATATTTCTTTCAATTAAATCTTTTGATTTCACTATCTCTATTAAATTTTATACCAAACTGTTCTTCTAATTACTCAGAACTCATTAGAACCAGAACTACTTCAGAAAATATTCGGAAATTTGGCATGGACAGGAAACTAGAAAATATAGATAAATACCTCCATTGAAGAACCCACAACAACTGCAGGGAAACCAACGACATCAATAAATACAATAGGAACACATACGATTCCCACCGACTTTCCCAATCGAAATATCAAGCGTTTCATGAAAGTGCTAGGAAATGAAGACGAATAACCAATCCCAGTTCTTATATTTTTATTTTTAAATGCACGTCGTATATAGCATCGTATCGCAGCTAACTTCATTTCTATCTTAAAATAGACTGAAATTTCTTCGTTATCTGTAAAATACTAATTAGAGAGGCACGAAAAAAAGTGTACAAGAGCAAAGTAGACTTAATTTAAAAAAAACAGTGATCCCTTTACGATCCCAAATATAATGAAGGACTATGAAATCTCCTGAGTTATCTTACTTTGTAGATAGTATTCATAGGTGAATCTCTTCAACTTTCAGGTGTCACTTTTCAGATGTCATTTTTTACATTACAGGTTTTATGTGCTAATATAGATACTTTTGGGAAATAAGATTTTTAGAGAAAATTATGTGCTTTAGTATAAAGCACCAAGTAAGTAACCGTGGATGAAACGTCCCATCGCACTTATAGCTTCGTAGCACGTGAAACT